GGGTTGACATGTTATGGGGTTGTTAACCAATGTCATAAAACAATATGTGTACTACTGTTTCATGAGAAACTATTTGTTCTGTAAGCCTTCACCTCAAGTACAATTAAAAAAAAAGAAAAAATAGTGTGAAAAAAAAAATGATAATCTCCTAAATTTTAAAACAGAGATGACTACATAGTAAAGAGAATGAGCAGCCTGAAACTTGTGAAATCAGTCTCATTACTTTATAATCATGCCTTCTTTCTAGTGAAGCAGTCACTCATATATTGTAATTGTTTGGGAAAGAGATTACAGAAGAGTGCTTAACTGGTTAAGCATAAGCTCTTCAGCAAGACACACCTAGATTTAAAGTCTGGCTCTGCAACTTCCTAGAGTTTCAAGACCTTGGGCAAGTTATTTAACACCTCTAAGCTTTAGTTTCCTTATCTGATAAAATGGGAAAAATGGTATTACCTGTATTTCAGAGTCCTGGTGAGAATTAGAATAGATAATGCAGGTGAAATGTAGTAATAACCCAAGAAATGTTAGCTATCATTACCATGCCACACAAATTATAACCTCATCTAAACTATTACTGGAATAAACTAAATCAATCATTTTGTAAGTTATTCTCTAAGATCATGCTTGCTTTTGTGTATACCACTAAAAGTAGTCCTATTTGAACTAGAATTGATAAACAGATCTTAATGTAAAAGTATGTTATAAAATGTATCTTAAGTCTTCTAAAATATGAAAGGAATCAATTAAAAACTCTTATTAAAATTATACAGTCTAAAGAAACTGGAAACAGGACTAGACCCTTGCATCATAAAACAGACCAAAGAGGCTTTTTATTTGTATACTTTGCTTCAAATTTTATTTTTTCCATAGGAATTCCTATACACAGTACAAAATTCAAAAGTACAAAAGGAAATTCTGTGCAAGGTTAATCTCCTATTCTCCTCCCCAGCACTGTTTTTTTGTGCATCTCTCTAGAGATAGCCTTATATTGTCATAAACATATCTCTGCCACCACCAAATTGTACTGTATATATAAAATAAAAAGAGATCTCTTAAAAAGGTACTTGGATCAAGCAAGAACTATCTAATCACTCAGATATCGAATGAAGAGTAAAAACAATTTTCCAACTGATCATCCTGGGTTTAATCTTTAGCAATGGCATTTGTTGCTGTTGTTGTCAGGTACCGTCAAGTCGGTTCTGACTCACAGCGACCCTATGTACAACAGAACTGCCCGGTCCTGCGCTATCCTTACTACCCTTGCTATGTTTGAGCCCATTGTGGCAGCCACTGTGTCAATCCATCTCATTGAGGGTCTTCCTTTTTTTCACTGACCCTCTACTTTACCAAGACTGGTCCCTCTCCAAAGTATGTGAGACAAAGTCTCACCATCTTCGCTTTTAAGGAGTATCCTGGCTGTACTTCTTCCAAGACAGATTTGTTCGTTCTTCTGGCAGTCTGTGGTATATTCAATATTCTTCACCAACATCGTTAATTCAAAGGCATCAATTCAAAGATATAATTCAAAGGCACAGCATACCCCAAAAGCTATAGTTGTGATCTAAATGACCAGTTCTTTGCACATTATGTGACTCAAATTGTCAGCCTTGACTTTTGGCTATAGTGACAGCTCTATTTGTTTTTTTTTGTTTTTCCCATACAAAAATTTATACATACACTGTTATGTGACTCTAAATGCTCTCCCCATATTGTGACAGCACACTCTTCCTTTCTACTTTCCTTGTGTCTTTGGGGTTCTTCATTCTCCTTTACTCCAGGTGGTTGGGACCAATTGATGCATCTTAGATGGCTGCTTGCAAGCTTTTAAGATCCCAGACACCACTCACCAAAGCAGGATGCTATCGTGGATTGAGTTGTGTCCCCCCAAAATATCTGTCAGGTTGGGTCACGGTTCCCAGTGTTGTATGATTGCATAGTCTGATGTGATTTCTTACGTGTTGTAAACTCTATCACTATTAATGAGATTGTATGTGATCTCCTTATGTGCTATAAATTCTATCACTGTGATGAGGTTACACTGATGAGGTTGACAAGATTAGATCGTGTCTTAATGCAATCTCTTTTGAGACATAAAAGAGAGAAGCGAGCAGAGACACATGGGGACCTCACACCACCAAGAAAGAAGCACCGGCAGCAGAGCGCGTCCTTTGGACCCGGGGTCCCTGCGTGGAGAAGCTCCTAGTCCGGGGGAACATTGATGATAAAGCCGACAGAGAGAGAGAGTCTTCCCCTGGAGCTGACACCCTGAATTTGGACTTTTAGCTTACTTTACTGTAAGGAAATAAACTTCTCTTTGTTAAAACCATCAACTTGTGGTATTTCTGTTAGAGCAGCACTAGATGACCAACACAGATGCAGAACATTTTCTGAAAGCATGGTCTCCAGACCCCTACCCCTGCTACTCTGTCCCTCAAAGTGTTTGATTGTATTCAGGAAACTTCTTAGCTTTGGTTTAGTCCAGTTGTGCTGACTTCCCCTGTAGTGTGTGCTGTCCTTCCCTTCACCTAAGATAATTCTTTTTTTTTTTTTTGGCCTTGCAACTGTTTATTTACATTTATAAAGAACTTCTTTTTATTGTAAAATATATATATATATATTAATATTATAAAAACTTAAAAACAGAAAAAACCACCCCAATCCTTTTTGCTATCCTTTTTGAGTATTTCCTTATTTCTTTCTACATGCATCCATATTTTTACATAACTGAAACAGTATGGAATGTATAGTTTCATCCCTGGCTTTTTCATTTGACTCATAAATAATATTCTGAGTTGCTGTATGTTGTTACTGCTAGGTGCCATCAAGTCAGTTCCGACTCACAGTGACCCTATGTACAACAGAATGAACCACTGCCGGTCCTGTGCCATCCTCACAATCGTTGTTAAGCTTGAGACCACTGTTTGCAGCCACTGTGTCAATCCATCTAGTTGAGGGTCTTCCTCTTTTACAATGATCTTCTACTTTACCAAGCACGATGTCCTTCTGCAGGGACTGATCCCTCCTGATAACATGTCCAAAGTATGTGAGACATACCCTCACGTCTAAGGAACATTCTGGCTGTACTTCTTCCAAGACAGATTTGTTCGTTCTTTGGCAGTCCATGGTATATTCAATATTCTTCACCAACACCATAATTCAAAGGCATGAATTCTTCTTCGGTCTTCCTTATTCATCATCCAGCTTTTGCATGCACCAAGTGATTGAAAACACCGTGGCTTGGGTCAGGCGCACCTTAGTCTTCAAGGTGACATTTTTGCCTTCTAAGACTTTAAAGAGGTCTTTTGCAACAGATTTGCTCAGTGCAATGCGTCTTTTGATTTCCTGACTGCTGCTTCCATGGGTGTTGACTGTGGATCCAAGTAAAATGAAATCCTTAATAATGTCAATCTTTTCTGTTTATCATGATGTTATTCATTGTTCCAGTTGTGAGGATTTTTGTTTTCTTTATGTTG